CATTGAAATTCTTATCCCTTGTGATGGAAAAATCAATACAGTCAGGCAGGACATGCTTGACCGTGATTCTTTCATCACAAGGGATACAAAACGGAGGATCCTCACCTTTTAACGGGTATTCATGAGTATATCTAATATGGCCAATACGACATCGTCGCATGATGACCTCCTGGACTGACAACCCAAGTAAGTGTAACAAATATAGGGTTTTATTGCATATAATTTATTGATACCTACTTGGGCGTCCCACTTTTTCTGCATCAGATCACGGATGTAAGTTCTAATGCAAGCTTAGTAATCAGAGTTTGGAATAAGAAGCGGTGTCACATATTTGTTGAGTGCTGCCTTGGTAGCAAGATCGGCCATTGTGTTCCCAGAAATGCCAACGTGCCAGCAGAGGACGATGTCGCATTGGCCAGTAGCAAGATCATTATATAATTCAATGATTTCGATTAAAAGTGGATGTTTGCAATAAAGATTTCTGATAGCCTGATGGGACGAAAGAGGGTCTGAAAATATTATATATTGTTCATATTTAAGATGTTTTTAAAATATTTATAAGCTGTTAATATGGCATTAGCTTCTGCTGTGAAAATAGAGCTGTTATTTGGTAACCGAGAAGATATTGCTCTTGATCCAATGACAGTGGCACAAGCAACCGCGCCACCATCCTTGGACCCATCTGTAAATAAGGATTTGTATGTATCATATTTATTTCTTAATTGACTAAGTTCTTGTTTATACTGTAATTCATTAGTTTCTGATTTTTTAAATGTAGTTAATGTTAGGTCAACTTGTGGCCTAACCAATTGCCAAGGAGGAGAAGAAAGAAGACGGGAAGGAGATTCATTTTCCAGCTCAATGGCGGCATCAAAAAGGAAAGGTTTTATATGTATTCCTAGAGGTGGAATAAGTGAAGATGTTTTTTTAATACAGATCTTCATATAAGGGATGAAACACACATTTGTGTGCAGGGTTTGACTCATTTGAATAAAGTTTTGTAACAGACTGCAGAGATAATTTGATATAATTTGTTTTAAAGAAGGTTCGTCTGCGTAGAGACTGTCAACAGGCAAAGTTCGAAAAGATCCAAGACAAAATCTAAGACCTTGGTGGTGGATAGAATCAAGTATTTTGAGGCTGCTTATGCAGGCTCCACCATATACGATGGAGCCGTAAACAAGTTTTGATCGGATGAGTGATCTGTATCAGTGGAGGAGGGTAGTTTGATCGCCTCCCCACTTTGAGTAAGAAACGAATTTTAACAAATCGAGTGCCTTGAAGGATTTGCCTTTAATGTATTTAATATGCGGTTAAAAGGTTAAATGGGAGTCGAAAATAAGTCCCAAGAATTTGGCTTCCTTTACAATTTTGATAGGGGTGCCATTTAGAAATAGTTCAGGTTCTTAATGCGGTTTATACCTACGGCAGAAATATATACAGTTTGTTTTTGATTTAGAAAAATTTAAACCCGTTTTCAAGACACCATGTATTTATTTTGTTTAAACACAACTGCAATTGCCCTTCAATAGTATGCATACTTTACCTCGACAAGAAACACCAAAATCATCCACAAAAAACGATCCATCAATGGAATCATTTAAAACTTTAGCTAAACTGTTTATCTTTATGCTAAATAAAGTGACAGATAAAATACTGCCTTGTGGGACACCCTGATCCTGATGATACTGATCATTTAGGGTAGTACCCACGCGGACTTGAAATTGCCTGTCAGATAAAAACTCGGCTATAAACTGAGGCAAACGGCCCCGTAAACCAAAATCATGTCAATCTTTTAATATGCCATACTTCCTGTCGTGTCATAAGCTTTTCTAAATCGAAAGAGATTGACACTGCATGTTGCTTGTTAATAATGGCATTCTTAACAAATGATTCCAGTCGAACTAAATGGTCAACCGTACTGCGATTTTTTACGAAAACCACATTGAATATTTGTGATTAAATTATTAGATTCTAGGTACCAAGTTAACCTCTGATTGATCATGCGTTCCATGGTTTTGCAAACGTAGCTAGTCAAATAAATTAGCCTATAATTACTAGTAGATGGATCGGTATGATCATGTCCAGGTTTGGGTATGGGTTCAACGATGACATCACGCCGGATTCACGCCAGTTGTCCAAATTTCGTCAAAAATATTCAAAAGTGTCTCTAAACATGATTCAGGTAAGTGTTTTAAGGAGTTGATAATGTATACCATCAGCTCCTGTAGCAGTATTATGGGCTTGTTCAAGAGCTCCATGAAGCTCATGAATAGAAAATATTTCGTTATAATCTTCCCCGTTATCAGAATGAAAATATATATTTTTCTTCTCCTGCTGTTGTTGGTATTTTTAAAAGTTAGGAACATAGTTAGACGAGGAAGAATGTTTCGCAAGAGTTTCGCCCACTTATTTGCAATATCAGATTTATCAGTTAACAATTGATCTCCAGATTTGGGATGGCGTATGCTTGATTTGGTACCCTTACCTTTAATTGTCTGGATCATGTTCCAAACCTTTGACATCGGCGTTCGTGAATTAATCTTTGAAACATAATTTCGCCAAGATTGGCGTTTACTTTGTTTAAAAGTACGTCGGGCTTTAGCATTTAAAATTTTAAACTTATTTAAATTATGGACCATTGGATGGCGACGGAAATACTGTTTAGCTTTCTTCCGTGCCTTCCTAGCTTGTTTGTAGTCAGGTGTAAACCATGGCTTTAGTATGTGAGGGGCGGTGGGGTAGTCTAATGGTTAAAGCGTTGGCTCGTCACGCCGAAGACCCGGGTTCGAATCCTCACATGGGTAGAATGAGTGAAGCCCATTTCTGGTGTCCTCCGCCGTGATACTGCTGGAATATTGCTAAAAGCGGCGTAAAACCAAACTCAGTCAGTCAGTTTAGTATGTGAGGATTTGCAGAGGACTTCGGAATACACTCATCCACTATCTCATGAAGGTAATCGGAGAAACGTTTAATAGGGTCGGGGACATCAATAAACATATCAGGATTTAGCTGATTATTGCAAAAAAGTTTCATAAAGAAACCAGTCAGCTTTAGCAAAATTCAATCTTGTTGACGGAGGAGGTGAGGTGAAATATGGTTTAACGTCGCGCTTGAGAATATTTCGCTCATATGACGACGTGCATGCGTGTGTATGTGTATGTGCGTCTGCTTGTACTAGCCCAGACTTAAGCTGGTTTTATAGTGCTAGCCCACTGAGATACCATGCCGCAGTGAAGCATGAATACCCCACTCAGACACAGTATACTGACTCCGAGCCGACCAGTCCTTGTTGTACCCATTAATGCCGAGCGCCAGGCAGGGACCAACAAGTACGATATGTTAACGTCTTTTGGTATGACGCGGTCGGGGATCGAACCCGCGACCTTCCGCTCTCCGGGCGCACCTTCTAACCACTACACCACGGAGGCGGTCTTGTTGACGGAGGAACATCAGATGGTGCCACATATGTTAATATGGTAGGAAAATGGTCACTACCGCATAGGTCATCATGAACTGACCATTCGAATTCACTCAGCAGATTAGAGTCAACCACCGACAAATCTAGGCAAGAGTAAGATCCTGTTGCAGGATGTAAATATGTATGAGAACCATAATTTAAAATGCATAAATCGTTATTTAGGAACAAGCAATTATCCTCTGGTATTGATTGCATTACTACCCCAAAGAAGGGTTATGGCCATTTAAATCCCCCGTGATAACACAGGGCTTAGGGGGCTTCAACATTCAAGGCCTGAGTAAAGATTTCATAAAGTTTTGTAGTACACAGTTGGAGGACATTTCCAAATTTAAGCATCAGTGACAAAGTGATGTCGTTTGTTTTCCTTTTTTACTTGTACGATATGTTCCCGTGTTCTTACAGGTTTACAATTGGCTTCCCTGTGCCAGTGTTTGTGACGGTTGGGATAGGATGCGAATAAGTTTTCATAATACAGATACATAAATATAAAATATGTGGAAAAGGAAAGGGTGTTTATGTCGACTGAGCTGTGTTGATGTCTCTGATGTAGGGTACAGTTCAAATATCTATATGTTGACTACCTATGGCTTCGTGTGTGGAATGTCATTGGAAATGTTTCAGTGTGACATGAGTTTACAAGGTCTTATTACCAAGACATAAGTATCAATATAAGAAATATTGTCTGTGCATAGCCAATATAACAGACCTTAAACTATACCATATGATATCGATTTAAAATAACTTCACTTATAACGAATTATATCTGCAATAATAGGCCCAACCATCGCCCTTTCAACGTGGGTTCGGGCCTCCAACCAATGTAAATACCTCTTTTTCTTTTAACTTATTAATCAGTATTGGAAATTATATTGTGTATATCTTTTTCAAACCATGACGAGATAATCCATAGCATCTGTGTACAATGAAACCGAATAAAAGTCATCGTGTTGTCCCAGGTTACATAGGTTACGGCCACCATTCCAACGGTCCCCCGTTAGGTGGTTGACCCAGTTTACGTGTTTTACAGGGACCAATTCAACGGGACACCCGTGAGGTGGTTGACCCAGTTTACGTGTTACAGGGACCAATTCAACGGGCCCCCGTTGGGTGGTTGACCCAGTTTACGTGTTACAGGGACCAGTTCAACGGGCCCCCGTTAGGTGGTTGACCCAGTTTACGTTTGTTACAGGAACCAATTTAACGGACCCCCGTAAGGTGGTTGAGCCAAATAACATAAACAGGTTTACAGGGGCATTGCAGCGGAACTCAAAAGTTGGTCGAGCCAAATGACATAGGTTACAGGGACTATTCTAACGGGACTCCCACTAAGTGGTTGGCCCAATGTACAGAGGTTATGGGGTCATTCCAACAGGACCTCCGTTAGGTGGCTGAACTAAACAAAATAACTGTGACCACTGCAAACACAAGACCAGTTACAAAGATCAACCTTAAAATGAAGTTTGTCCCAGGTACTTTGTGAGTGTATTTTCACTGTCAACCACAAAACATGATAGTGAAAAAAGAGGTGGAGAGTGTATTTTTAGTTGAATTCTTACATACAGTACATGGTGTAGGTTGTCCAAGAATTGTCGTTGACGTGATGTGAAGACAAGGCTTTGTCGGTTAGCAGACAGTTCCCATCAGTCGGCGCTGTTGCACTGTAGCTGAAGTCGATGCATGAATGATGCTGGTGACACACGATGCCGCAGTCGCCGGCTGTAATGGCCGACGTTGTCAGGAACGGATTGGACACCTTCTTGTTCTTGGACGGCTTGTAGTATGAGCCTAGAGAAAAGTAATTCTATTTAATGTGTGAACGGGATTTCTTTAACGCTATATTGACGTTATACCGGTCATCTTCACGTGACACACCATCTGCAATGTCTCAGAGTCTCATTACCCAGTCCATCTTTGTGTGAGAAGGTGACTTGACTCATAGTGAAGGATGGCTCGAACACCTTATTGCTCTTGACGGTTTGTAGTATGAACCATTAGAATAATTTTTTCAATTTGTAAACGGGTGTAGTTCAACAACCCAGACTGCTGAATGGCAGTCAAGGCCATGGGGTCACAGTAACACGCCACAAGAAGATCGCAGGCAATCTTGATGGACAAAGGTGAACCTTTTCGGAATCTTTAGCTTTGATCCAAACAACCCACGAAACGTCTAAAGTTCTAAAGAACATGACGAAAGAGTTTACTAATAAATCTTTATGCAACGCTAATTTTATAACCTGCAAATAGTCAAGCCTGGATGGCAAATCAATTAATCAGTCACTTATATTATGACCAACGTCGGGGTTGATGACAAGCAGCAAAGTCACCGCCACTGACGACCAGATCCATGCAGTAGTCTCATAGGACCAGCAGTGTTTGCGTGGCCATCTTGGTATAAAGCTAAATATATAAACTCACTCACTCTTACTGAGCTCATCGATATATAAGAGATTATGATTAAGGGTGGGCGATAATACCGGTTAACCGGTATATTGCAATTCGAACTTCGAAATACGATATATTGCGGTACACTTTCCGTGAACATGATAGGTAATTTTCGTGATGAAGTCAAAAATACTAACAACATTTATATTACCTTTATATTATTATACATTAATAGTTTGGGGAGTGTTTATTGGTCATGCAATTGCATTTGCGTGACTATTTCTACTTTCACCCAATGTTTCACTCACGATATGGCTTCATAGTCCCTCCCCCTTGCACGTCAACATGTCCGATTTTGAGACGTACGGAACTTGCGGATCGCCTTGTGACACGGACAAAGCGGACAGGGAAGGTGACATTGCAGGTGAAGGTGAACTTCTCACGAGCAGCAACAGTGTTAGGTACCTCTCCACACCACACCACCTGGACGTCAGAGCAGAGGCTGACATCTTTGTCCATCACCTCCACGAATGCTTTTTCCAAGTAGTTAGCTGTAAACAAATAAGCCAGGGTCGGTATTACACATACAAAATTCATGCTTCTTACACGGTAAAGGCCTTCTTATCTGTAGCTGAGTAAAAGATGGTTTCTTGAAATGGTATTGTGTTGTGCCAATTTACCAAACTATATTAAGGCTGTTCAATAATCAAGAGTGACAATTCATTAAATTACATAAATTTATCATTAATGGTATACAATAGAGCTGAATGGTGTTGAAATGGACCGACATTGATATAGAATTGATGTGATATATTGTATATCCCGAATCTATGTATTTTATTAGCATGGGATGAAGCAAAAGTGATGTGTCAAATCTATATGTACACTGACCCGTGTCGGTTACTGCTGTGAGGGTGATGTTGCTGATGGTGAAGTAGCCCCTAAGGTCCACCTCCCACCAGCACGGGTTGCCTGGGTTTGTTATTGCTCCCAGATGTGAATAACCTATATTAAGAGCATGGCTAGCGACATAGTAGCCAAAGGTACTGCTCTGTTTTGCATCTTTCCCATTTGAAATGGTTTCACCTGAAAGGGAAATATGAAGAGACCATGTGAGGGAGACAGAGGCACGTACAGACTCATTATACAGACGCAAAGACTCACAGACTCAGATACAGGCACAAGCACACATATATACCCGCTCACATTATTACATTATAAATTATTGCCAGGTTAGGGAACCTCTAGGTACTGGGAAATACGAACAAGACAATAATCTCTGAAAGTGATGAATTGTAACTGGAATGGTTCTCAAAAGACATTTTGCTAGTCTTAGTACGAGTAAAAACACAGAAAGGAAAATCACCTAGAATTTGTTTTACAAGATTTTCTGTACTTTCTGAAGTGCTAGGCAAACAACAGGATCAGTCAAACTTTTTCTCCCTGACAAATGAACCAGTCAACAAATTTGATTATGAGGGTTTCTACAATTCCCACATTAACCAACGCAGACAGTGTCAATCACAAAATGGAGAGGTGCACGTACAAAACGACATAACTACTCTACCAAAACCACGAAAGGGAATGATGAATCCAAAGAAAGTGGCACAATAACATCCAGGGCCTAGATATTCGAAGCTCTCTTAGCGCTAAGATAGTCGTAAGTGCCATACATTAACATTAACTTACAACTACCTTAGCGCTAAGAGAGCTTCGAAAATCTAGGCCCAGGATCAGACTTTAAAGGGCTCCAGTATCCGTCAAACACTGAAACCTGACACCAAACCTTTTCTAACTAAATGTAAGTACTCCTCCTTTTAAAACATGTATGGTTAATTTCGGCATAAATGCCAATGGCCCATGCATAAGATATATATTAATTGAAAAAAACGGGAACAAGAATTATATTCCAATACAGTACTTAGTCATTCGCGAACAGTTTCCTAGTACATAGTGAGTATTTAATCATGTTTGCACAATTGTTCAGATAGTATTGGCAGATATTAGTGGACGATTCAGTGTCAAGATAGTGGTTCGAGAAAGTTGAACTGTGGAAGATATCGTAGTCTTGAGTTAAGCATACTCTTCAAGGGATATTCATTCCCAACTTCCCGTACTTGCTCTTAGAGCCAAATCTATACACACAGTAAGTTACTCTATCATCGAATATTAAACTTACAAAGCAGTCTCCAATTGCTGCTACATTAGAAAACCAGCACATAAAACGAATTTGCAGAATTTAGATTAAAACTGTTCCATAATGGGTCTCTTCTCAACTGCCTATATTTTAGAAGCATACAATAAAATTGGTTGTATTTGAACATCAAAGATTCAATCATAATGTCCGGTTGTATATTTATTAATCTTCTTTGCAATAATTTAATTGTGAATGGTGCCTTATTTGAATTAAAAGTTTTCTTGACATCAGCTTTAAGCATACCAGACTGAGATTAAGTTCGTAATATTTGTCCAGTTCAGCCATGTTGAGTAGAAGGTTGGCTGACACACATCTTTACACTAAACACCACATGTTGCTTTCACACAATATTCAACAAATTTGTTTGTATAAATACTTAATTTCATCCACGGACATTTATGTTAATGCCGATTTCCAATAAGCTTTTATCTCCCCTTTCATGTGTTATCTCCCTTTATCAAGGGCACTTCCGGAGGTGCTTTATAGTTGCTAGCAGAGAATCTAGACAGGAAGGCACAAGACTAGCATCTGAATTTTGAGAAATGTAATTGAACTGAAGACCTACTTACGGAATCACGGAAAACGCATTTCCGGGAATAAGTCGGACTTAATTTTGCGTGCCAAAGGTGTGAGTGATCTTGACACACGATCGATTGAAGACGCAAATTCATTCGACGTGGTCACTGTCATACAAAGACGATTTGAGAGGTTTCTGTCACCTCTCAAGGAGCTTTTACCAGACCCATTATACATGAAACATGGATGGAATAGCAGAGTTGAACTTATGCCATCATTTAGTTCAGGTGATCCGAATAATTATTTGATTTGGGGAAAGCAGCGGGCACTAGATACCGACCCAAACAACGCTAAACATCAGTTGAAAGCTAAAGTGTTCTACGAAGATAGACACGTTCATTCAGTTCGATATCAACACATATCCGCGGACTATTTTCATTGTTATTTCAATGCCAAAGTGATTCCTTCCATACCTCAGAGTATGAAACAGAAACCGGATTATGATGTGTGGGTGTCCTTATCAAACTTACCGGTCGGGTACATGCTGCTGGTTGCAACTGCACTGTCCTTTAAGTAGACAACTCAACAGTGCAAGTGTATTGGTATCTTTAATTCAAGATTGCCAACAAGTGGAAGCTAGAGATCTGTAAGTGAACGCACACTTTCCAATTTTTGTGACTTTCTTGGGCAAGATATTTTGTATGACCCTTTGTGCATTCCGGAAATATTCACACGTTTGATTGCCATTTCAATATAAATGGATAAATTTGCTATGCGTATTGTTTCTTCAATTTGGATGTTTAAGTTCATTCCTAAGGCTGTTGTCAGATCAGAAATGGGAAATCTTTTAACAGCAATTATTGAATCCACAGGTTCACAGACATGCAGCAAACCATATAATTGGGTAATCTGTTTTACACTGGTACTACCACACCAAAGGTCCGATAAAATCGTTATTACCCCAGCAGGACTAACACCAATGAATTGTGAGTCACATGCGACTAATAATTGGAGTATAGGAGGGTCCTGTTTGTAAGGGATTGTGATGTTTTATTAGATATTTTGAAAAGCAAAATCTATCTGCTAAATGCCCGAGCAATAGTCCCAGTTTAAGCCTCGGGAGAACTAGGACAATGAGTGAGTGACTTTAGTTTTACGCTGCAATCAGCAAATATTCCAGCTATATGGCGGCGGTCTGTAAACAATCGAGTCTGGACCAGACAAACCAGTGATCAACGGCATGAGCATCGATCTGCGCAATTGGGAACCGATGACATGTGTCAACCAAGTCAGCGAGCCTGACCACCCGATCCCGTTAGTCGCATCAAACGACAAGCATGGGTTACTGAAGATCAATATTCTAACCAGGATTTTCACGGGTCAGAACTAAGTACAAATATACCTGGGTTAGGGATTCCTGTGTCAAATGAGAATCTCACTGTAGGAGACATCTTCATATGTTAACACAGGCTTGTTACACTGAATGTCAACATTAACCACTCTCGGCTTTGATATCGCAATTGTCATACCATCATACCTCAAGCGCGTTATAGAGCCATTCTATTTCCTTCTTCGAAAGAGTTTGCAAGGGGTGATAATAAATAAGGGGAGAGAAGGACTTACTAGAAAGGTATATTACAAAGTCAAGTAAGTTTCATTAAATGTTCTTCTAAACGATTTCTTCTCTTCCATATATTTCTAAAACGTTCCTCATCCCAGTTTGCTTATATTGTTCAATGACCTCATATCAGGAGAGAAGCGATGTACCATTTCCTTCCCTTATACGATTTCTTCCTAGTAATCGTGAACAACAAATTTCAAACTCATTGTCTTTTACGCTAACACCATTCCCATCCTAACCCTGCCTTAAACTTCGGTTGACAGTTCATTAATTCATTTCAAGAGGAAAGAAGAATATATATGCCATTAGCCTCAGCCATCGTCACTCTGCTCTCGTTTGCTATATAGCATCTCACCTGACCTACTTAGTTACAAGGAGGTAATCAGGGGCTCTCGTTTAGCGCTACATAACTCAAGACCGCATAATGCTACGATGAATGGTTTTTCTACAAAACAAATACTTGTGACATACTCGACTGTGTCTTTGCTCGGGGCTACATTTTCAAATGAAAGAAACCCGAACTCTGAGTAAATAAACATATTGACAGAAGGTGTTAATAACGCTATAAATTAACTAAATGAAATTAAAATAAATTGACTTTTGTGTCATGATAACTGCTTGTGTGGTTATAGCCTGGGAAAGCCACATTTAAGAAAAACAGAGTTAGAAATGGTGTGGCTCAACCGGCAATGGGCATGGTTGAGTGATCGAGTGAACGTGGCTCTGCCGGCAATGCGCTATTAGCTAATCCATGTTACAGTAAATCATTTGAAATATTCATTATGTAAAATCTAGAAATCCAGTTGAATTTTTCGTGGGGAAAAGTCCAGATCACGCAAACTAGCTGCCTCACATAGGTACTCAAACACCTTTTCACAAATTATTTATGATTATACAACCAATTATTTCTTTGAAGCATTTTAACTTATAGGATGGTCAATTTAGTGTTTTTCCTTTTCTGATAACTGCTTGAGATAAGAGATATTGTTGCCTCAATCACTATGTTTACATTCATGCTAAAAACTTTAAAAAAAATAAAAATAGAAGAATGATCATTTATTGCACAAATATACTTATAAACAACTACATATGTGACGCCTAACTCTTTCCAATTCATAACTGGTTTTTTAGCAAAACTATTGACTCGATTTTCCAGAATAAGTCATTTTGCCGCCGCTTGAATAATGACATTTTGATTTCAATTTGAAGCGTCACAATACATTTGAAGGAAAATTCCGATTGTTATTTGATATCGAACTCCGTTTAAATATCGGGATACTTTACAGAAAACGATCAAGGCCTAATAATTACACAGAACATTATCGACATAACTATCGATTCGGCTGATGAAGGATGAGCGTACAAGTCTTTGAAAAAGCTAAAGTACCATCATTTAAAGTTTTCATATCCAGAAATAAATGTATTTAAAGTTTTTATCTGTTACTAGCATTATTACGTGACGAACAGGGGGCGTTATCGACATGAAAGCATGGCATTGAAGAGTTTAACGAACTGTTGAAACATGACTTTGTAATATTCATGAACAGAATA